GAGTGAATTGCAACGCGTGATTGCGCGCGTAACGTCACGCATTTTGATACCTGAACATGATAATTTTGAATCATCATGACATGAGTAACATTATTGCCGATTGCACAGTGCGATTGAAGTTGAAAGAAGAGCTTATCTAGAGCTGTTCGCGCAATTGTCAATTTCCAGATGTTTATTAACGAGACACATCGTAGTCTGTTCTTCCATTGAAATTTCACATAAAAAAAAAGCTTTCTCGTTTTATATCACGACTAAGGCCCGGTTTCACCAAACGTCGTTTAACTTTAGTCTTGGTTTAATTCACGTTTGTCTCTTTCTAAAGTAACAGTTGAAAAGAGACAAAAACCAAGTAAGCTAAGCTTAAAGTTAAACAACGTTGGTGAAACCGGACCTAAGGCCCAGTTTCACCAAACGTCGTTTAACTTTAGTCTTAGTTTAATTCACTCTTTTTAAAGTGACAGTTAAAAAGAGACAAAGAACGAGGTAAGCTAAGCTTAAAGTAAAACAATGTTGGTGAGACCTGAACCAGTGTTGATAAAAGATAATGGAATATTTTTGTATGTAATGACGCTTACATAGGCAGGAGGTGCCGCGGGGACGTTCGTGGACATCGCGTTGTTTCCACTGGACACGCTGAAGACTCGGCTGCAGAGTGCAGAGGGATTTCTAAAGACGGGAGGCTTCGCCGGCCTTTACAAAGGGATCTGTCCAGTCATAGTCGGTTCGGCGCCGACAGGTAATACGCAGATATATTTGCGAGACCATGTATCGGGAATCCTGAAATTTATCATTGTATGTTATTCGACGCATTTTCTATTCCAGCCGCGCTATTTTTTCTAACGTACGAGGAGATCAAGACTGTAGTGCGACCTAGGATTTCTGCAGATTATTACACCCCACTTCACATGGGAGCGGCGGCGACGGCGGAAATGGTGCTACTTTGATAATTGTTATCTCTCTTGCGACAAATGAATTAATCAAACAGTTAAGCGATATTCAATCTACGTTAAATAATTGTACTTGCGGTACTTTGACTGTGTGAAGAACTTTCGATTTATCAAACTGATGTACAAGGCAATGTCTTTCTTACGAGTTTTCCTCGCACTTCTTTTATAATGCGGCAAGTTCCTCCGTTTTAGCGTCAAATTACTAGAAACAAAGTAACAATTGTCGTTTTGTATGCAAAGGTAGCATGTTTAATACGAGTTCCAGTGGAAGTTATGAAACAGAGGAGACAGGCACAGATACAGGACAAAAAATCGCTCGGACTGAGATTGTTGTATCGTGGATATTGGAGCACGGTGTTACGAGACACGCCGTTCAGCGTTGTACAGTTTCCATTGTGGGAGTATCTGAAAAGGAGCTACAGCTTCTACATCGGAAGAGAAATATATCCTGTGGAAAGCGCAATCTGCGGGGCAATTGCAGGTTCTTGTACTATTTTGACGTTGCTAAAATGGAAGCAAGATAGTTTCGCATAAACAGAGGTCACTGTTTAATGTTTGCACCTACATGCGCTACTTAATTTCAGGAGGCATCTCTGCAGCTGTTACCACTCCGTTAGACGTTGCGAAAACGAGAATAATGCTGGCAAATAGGACGTTGCTTTCATCGGAATTAAAGATATTAAATGTACTTCATGGTGTGTATCTGCAAAACGGTTTTTATGGGCAAGTATCGGCAACTCTCTCTGCCTGAAACTGATAATTTCGAAAATCTTTTTTATTTCAACAATTACATATATCATTATAATATAAAATTTTACTGAACGTTTCGCTATCAACAGACTGTTCGCTGGTTTTGGGCCAAGAGTAATGTGGATTACATTAGGAGGTTTTATTTTCTTTGGAATTTACGAAGAAGCAAAAGTACTCACGCATACCATATTTCCAATGCTGAAATAAAATACAATCGTACTTGTTCTTATGCGAAAAAAGTGACACTTGTAAGTCAGTAGTTACTTTTTAGTATTTTGTTACATGTATAAAATGTTTATTTGTCTTGTATAAAACCTTCCCGATGATTACAATATACGTATAGTTTTTGTATGCACCTACCTTATAAAAGTACAAACTTTATATTCTCTTTGCCTATATAATCGTTTTATTTTTATAAAAAATTATGTATTATACACAATTTTAAACGTTTTGTTTCCTAGAAACAATCATCAATGAAAAAGTACGATACTAATATAGTAAATTTAGATCACAATATTTTTCTATTTACGCGCACTTTTCTACCAAAGAGAAAGAGTGTACATACAAGATACGTATATTTAAGAAAAGAGACTCGTGTATTATATAAAAATATATGCTGCAGGATATATGGTATTTCAATCATTGGTATTTACAGTTTGGATTTTAAACTACTCATTAACTTCTCTAACTTCATTGCTTTCTGCATATTTCCGCTGATGTTTAATTTGCCTGTCATAAATGCAGAAGCCGGCTTTAGCTTGCCTGTCGACAAAAAAACAAATTTAAAAGAATTATAATAACATCAATGTAAATTACGTTAATAATACAAGGATTTGTATAATTTATATACACGATTAGTGATATAACAAGTGGGAGAAAGTGACGAGATCTACATCTACCTGAAAACATAGCAAAGAAATTATCTGAATCCATTGTAAGAATTGCATCTGCTGGCTGGCTCGGTTCTCCTTTGCCAGTAGCACCTTTTCCATTTTTCAGGTCGACGAACCATACACCAGACTCTTTCCCTAAAAATAAACATGTATAAAAGGTATTCTCCCATTTCTTGCGTTATTGTAACAGAATTTAATCTCAACAAAACGAAATTACCTTTCACGTTGAATTGAAATATTGCACCAGTCCTACTGACCAATTCGCTACTTAAATTAGCATTGATGGCATTAAATATACGTGCCATCTGTCCAGTTTCTTCACTACGTGCTTTATCAGGACTAGAAGTATCTCCTTGAGTAGACGTATCTTCCAGAAAGAAGTCCATCATTAATTTATCCTTGTTTGCTAAATAACAGATTAGAAATATTAATAAAGAAGTATTTAACAATTAAACTCACTAGCAAAATTTATATACATTTTTATAAAGATTTTGTAAAATGTATTTTATACTTAAAAAAAACAATTTTAGTAAAGATAAAAAGTTGTAATTTAATCGTCATTGTAATGGATTTATTTTTCTTATAAATGCTATAGATTTCTGCAAGATAAATGGTAATAGTGTTTTCTTCTTTTTAAAATACAAATAAATCTAACATTACCTGGATTACACGCGTAGTCTGTAAAGTCAGCAATGCCTTCGTTCTTTAATATATCTTCGTCAATCAAAAATTGACCAGTAATAGATTTGCTGTCTTTACAGATCAACGCGTAAACAGCATCGCTCATAATTTCAGGTTTTCGACAGACGTTGCTCGAGTCCGAACCCGACAGCATGTCCATTGCAGCAGTATGTATGGCTAAAAACAAAATAACTTGTGTAGAATACATTTTGCATGAATATAGAACACAGTATTATCCAATGAAATGCAACTTACAAGTGGCGCAAGAAAAGAAATTGCATTTCGCTTTCGCGTTATATCAAAAATTACCGTATCTAAAATAATCGACAATATCGTTCATTGTACTATTTTTTTTAAATCGTATTTCCTTACTAATAGTCTAGTAAGATGAAACAATGCGATAAAATGTACCTGTCCTAGGCCAAACAGCGTTGACTGCGATACCGTCAGGCTTGAATTCTTCCGCCATACCGAGAACGCACATGGACATTCCGTACTTAGCCATGGTGTATGCGACATGATTTTGAAACCATATCGGTTTCATACTCAACGGCGGACTTATGTTAACTATATGTGGATTCGCGCTTTTCTTGAGATACGGTACACAGACTTTCGACCTGCAACACAATTTTGTCGCTCGGTAAATTGCAGCGCGAACTTCAAGAACGTGCGACGACTTCACGCTTCCCTAATCAATTACACATGATTGATTACATATAAACTGAATGCTGACTATCGAGAGCTCGCAGGAAGAACGAAACCTACACGAGAAAAGTTCCCCGGGCGTTGATCTGATTCATTAGATCGTATCTCTTCATATCGGTCGCGACGGTGCCCGTCAAAGAAATGGCACTCGCATTGTTCACAACTACGTCTATACCACCGAATTTGGCGACAGCACTTTCCACCGCGTTAATCACCTGCTTCTCGTCCCGTACGTCCACGATGCAAGGTAGAGCTTGGCCGCCGGCTGCTTCGACTAAAAAATATATATATTTTCAACACAGACCTCCAAATTTGGAAGGCAACGATAGATCTAATAGATTCAACTGGAAGGAAAAGTCCAAAGATTAACTCGGTTAACTTTCGTTTTAATCAACTTGACGAAAGACTTGCTTCAATAAAGAAAAGAATTATTACTAGACTAAATATGCCGTGCATAGAATATTCGTGTTCTATTTCCATTTGCATCAAATGTCATTTTTATTGGTCTTGACACCGACATTTCAGAGACTGTAAAAATGTTTGATCTGCTGAGAAATCAATCGACAATTACTTTCGGTAGCCGCCGTATAAATGGTGCCTGGTAACTTGGGATGCGGCTCGGCGGTTTTTGCAGCGATAACGATATTTGCACCATCTTTCGCAGCCTTCAGCGCTATACTCTTCCCGATACCTCTTGAGGCACCGGTAATAAAAATAGTGCGACCAGCCAACTTCCTGTCAAACATTGGTTACAATTAGTGTCGCTCGTTTCTACGACACGACGTTTACAGCAGGCATTTATGTACAGTGTATTACGAAATGTTGTATATTATTTATCAAAATTATTTCAATTATTTTTATCCTATAAAAATTGAAACTTATAAGGAACTGTTGCGAGATCTATATAATTTCTGATAAATGATACACAATATTTAGTGATACATTGTACATAAACGCTTACTGTAAACGTCGTGTAGACAATTACACTTGACGCATTTACATATCGTTCACGTTTATCGTGCGCGGGTCTTACTTTTGACGTTTTACTTTCCACGTGCCCTGGAATTATGCAAAGTTTATGGAAAGTGGCACTTATACAAATTAACATTTTAATCTCGAAGGCCGCATCTCAAATGAGCAGCGGAGCGACGAGTCTAGGTTAAAACCGTGCTCCGCATTCTTATTGTAATTTTTTTTTTTCACTCGCGCATATCATGGAAGCAAGTCCACGTAGATTGCAATCGCGCGTACACACATGTTCGCACTATCCCCCAGTGTCGGGGATAAAAATACGCCAAGTCATGTAAGATCGCGGTCAACAAATTCACCACTTCAAAAAGCACCGCTTACCCGGTGTTAATCATCTCGCGGCGTTTTGTCCTCCTGGTAATGCGCGGCGTATCAGGTGTCAACGTCGATACGTGGGGTCAGGCGAAAACCGAAAACAGACACCGCAGATCGGTCGGAGGGAAACGGGAGAAATGTCACAGTTGTCTTCGTTGCGGCCGCTTCGAAGTCAATCCCCACTCGGCAGGTTCAAAGTACATCACATATCTTTAGATAGTTTAGATAATCGCTCCAAAGTGCGTTTTATAATTAACAGGCATTCGGCGAGACGAGAGAGAGAGAGGAGAATGTCCCCGATCACGGAGGAGCGAAATATGGGAGGGAGCATAAACCACGAACTTCTGCACAATTACATAGAAGTCTGCGAGAAGTACCGAGAAGTTCGCAGGTCAATCACACGAGAGTCTGTGAGTGGCTGCGCTCAGCGGTAAAGAGCCGCCTGCAACTGTGTGAAATTCGTGAATCCGATTGGCGTATTCTCTCGATCTTGGATCAACCTAGGAGCATACGCCAATCGGATTCACGAATTTTAACCAGCTGCAAAGTGAATTTTTCCGCGGAACGCACAGTGTAGCAGAGCGCGGGACTTGGCGGTGGACGGAAGGGGGGGGGGGGGAGAGCAGTTGAGCGCGCCGTATTGGAACGAAGGAAGTCGGTTCAATAGGATCTGACTACACAGGACGCGTTCCGTGTCGCATGATGCATTATTTAACGCGATGTTCTACAATGGACTGCGTCCGGCATTGCAAATTCGAGGCGTCGGAGTGCTCTTGCTCCTTCTCTATCTCATTTTCCTCTCTCGTTCACTCGAATGCAAAAGAGCACTCCGACGCCTCGGATTTGCAATGCCGACCGTGCAGCTAATGACATTTTAAGCAGAGAGAAACCTGAAAGCGGAGGCCGCAGCGTTTTACTTGACACCGTTTCAGGAGACTGTTTTGCGCGCCCTTACGCCCATTTTCACTTTTGAAACTATTTTGTTACGCATTTTATGACACTATCGATTAAGTCTCCACTTTGTGCGCGTCTATGCTACGCCTATTTTTCAAAATTGTGCTGTGAATTTTAAAATTACATTAACATAAATTAGATGTCAGAATCATGGAGGAAAGAATAACGGGATGGGGCTATTTCCCCTCGGCCTGTCTAACCTGACGTAAGGGGGGGAACAGTAAGCGCCATATTGGTGTGACCTATACTGGAGCGCGAAATTTGAAATAGTAAGAAATGCTACGTCGAAAAAATGATATACCCTTTAGATAATTTTATTTCTTATAATGTACGTAGTTGTAAAAACTTGTGATATGCTAAACTTTTCCATTGAAACAAATGAATCGTAATTTATAAACTTAAAATGTTTTAAACATAACATAAGTAATGATATACTCTTTTTTAACAGCGAAATACGTACATATGCATATATCCTGGAATAATATTATCTCAATTAAGTACAGCTCCTCATAGTTAAATGTGAGGAGAGTACTCGATTGTGATTGGTCAGTTTCTTAAATCTTACTTCTTCTTCTTCTAATTATGGCGCCCGGCACCTGATAAACGGTAGCCGATACGGCCACGACGAACCAATAGACGTTGTTGAATTACAGCCAGTTTCACAAACGTTAACAAGAGTTCAGTCAACTCCCTCTATTTTTTTCTATCTTATTACCTAAGAAGAGACAGATAAGTTTGTGAAACTGGTCCTTAATAGTTTAAAGAATGAATAAATCGCGAGAACCATTGATCTTGACAAAATTCATTTCACACCGCGTACATTTCTTTTTTATGTTATATTATCTTATGTTACATTGTCATTTAATATTAGGATTGAGGAAATCACTAAGATTGTTTTCGAAAGTTGAATACTTTCTGTGTTACAGGCTGCCACACATAAGCCACTAAAAACTATAAGATTTATACATTAAATAAATTTTTAATCAACTTAGCAAATGAACTAAAGTTATCCGAAAACGATGTCACATTTATCGCGCGACGAGTTTGCCGGACGTATTAAACGACTTATCGGACAGAAGGCTTGTATTTCAGGAAACTTGGAAAAATGTTTCAATCGACAGGCAATTAATACGTCCGACAAATAACGAATCTATTAATTCTTACGTAATATATTCTGTATTGCGTCCTTTGCTTTTTGAACACCAAGACGAAATTCGCCGAATTCCGGACGAATCCTCATCCCGCGGTAATAAAACACTAAGCTCATTTCGAAGTCGCCAAGATGATAAAGAGCCTCCGCCTTGCAGTACACCGCTTTGGACTTGCTGGAATCCTTCGGGTTTAGCCGCAACGCCGCTTCAGCGTCGTCCAGGGCCTTTTGCGGATCACCCAGTAGAAGATGGCATTTGCTTCGCGCTATTAAGGCGTTCTTGTCATTCGGATTCATCTCCACTGCCTGGCGGAAGAAATTTTTATATATCTTCATTGAATTATTAAAACAAAGAAGTGATGATCATTTGTTAAATAATGATGAAAAAAGTTGAATCCTTCTTTTTATATATTTTTAAATGCACGTCAGTTCTGAATATATTTTCATCCGGTTATTTTTATCCCGTTTGAAATATTTCATGTATCCTTGTGATTTATATAATTTACACGTATAAAAATCTAAAATATAGGTACTTTGTTACATATCTCAAATATAAATCCATTAACACCTTTGTATTATTGTCACTTATATAGCTGTCATTTATCGCCAGTTACAGCGCAACAATCTTTTTGTCATATTGCAATGCTGCAACAGATAGCAGAAAGATCTTGCGCTTCATGGACAAGACGAAAATCTCCGCAATTATTACGTTCGTTTCAATCTTAAGACATATACAAACTGTTCCGCTCGATTTAGCCGGTTGCTTATTACGTAGGGTCACGTTTGCTTATACTCGCATGCACGGCCATGCACGGAAGGCATAAATCACTCGTATCGATTGCGTCTGCAAAGAATTAAGAGAGAGAGACTGTTCAACGAGGCGGGCGCCTGGAAACCTTATTGATGCAGTTGATAGCGACATTAACGTCGCCGAAGCGCATCTCGCGTAGGCCGAGGGTCAGCAACGCGCCGGGCTCGGTCTCCTCCGGAATCTGCAGGCTCTTGCTGCGATCCTGGCGTTGCTTCATCTTCAGAGACTGCTTTATGTCCGTGGTGCCCATGTTTACGGCGGCCGCGCGGTCCTTGTCGGTGTACACCTCTTCCTGCCGACGGGCCTCGCCGTCGTGCTGGCGTCACTTTCTTCTCGACTTCTGTATCCTCATCTCCGACTCGATAGCGGTGGCGGACCTCTCCCTTTCCTTCTTATCGTTATTGCCCTTCTTCCCTCTGTCGTGGCGGGCGTTGCCGCCACTCGTTGAATATTTACCCGAGTGCCCCTCTTTGCTCGGCTCCTCGAACTCCTCGGGGTCCTGCTTCGGATCGGGGCCAGCCTCCGCGAGCACGTAGCTCTGCAGCAGGCCTTGATGCAAGCTGGGATTCAGGATGTCCATAACGTGATGCTCGACCTCGTTCGCGGGCGTCGCGTCCTCGGCGACGGTCTCCGACACGTCGCTCATCTTCAACCGTCGAGCTTAACGATTTTTTATCCGATGCTGTGTTACAATGTTAAAACGAGAGGAATTTATAGCAAACTGCTTTACAAAAGATACTCTCGTATTCCCTCCTTCAGCCGTTTCTACTTCGCGCGTAACTCTGTAGAAATCCTTGCGTAGGAATCGCGAGCGGATGATCTTCGCCTACGTGCCAAGATACGTGTGGTTGCAGACACCTCGAAAGGTGGCCCGTTTCCTTAGAAACGAGTAACAACGCCGGCACAAGTCAAATGTGATAAATATCTACTATCTACCCTCGCGATTCCGAAAACAAGAACATCCTGTGTGTTGCGTACACAGAACGCTCTTGGGATAAGTCGCCAAAGTTTAACGCATCTTTTTTTTATTTACTCACTTTGAAAGTGAGGAAAAGATATCCTATGATCTTGCAGATCCTTTTTAGAGTAAACGCACTCTTCATAAGCATTTTCGTCCGTCTCTTTGTTTTAAAGAAATTGTCCCGCGAATCGCGCGCCTTATATCGATCTTATATAAATACAAACTAACAATTCACGCATTCGTTTTCTTTCATCGCACTTAATTACTGTCGCAGAACAATATTTAACTAACTTGTTAGATCGTAACGTAAAAGAAATTAACAATAATATCAATGTTTCTTGTTAGAACACATATGCTCTCGAAATTCTTGTTTCGCTACAGCTTCGTTCTTCGATCTTGACACATCGGAATGGCTTTACGACTGGCCTTCTATATTTCTACCTTGCAGTTCTTATTCTTTTCCGTGGCCAAGATACAAAAAAAATATATTGAGCTGCATTCTACTTAAGTAAAAAATAATTTTCTTTGCAAAACGCTGCGCAATACCTTTGATATCTCTTGTCACGTACTTTTAAATTTTTTAAAAAGTCTATCGGACTTGTACATTCTTTCACGACATGTCGATGTATTTTATTAAAAAGCTTTCTAATTATAAACTTAAAACTTACTTGATTGTACAGAAATATGGCTTTATTATAGCTTCCATTTTTCACATGAACGGTTGCTTCATTTACTAAAAGCGCGTTTTGAATGAAAAGAGAACTCCGCCTTTCCCGTACCGCTGATTTTCCTTTCGGATGATGTACCATATCGTCCCGATATCTACAACAGTCTGTTTCAATGTTAAAATCATTCAATCGATAAGTATTAATACAGTATTTAAGCAAACACCGGGTTCAAAGTAAAAAATCGCTTTCTGAAAATCATTTGTCAAAATAAAAATGACAAAGCAATCGATGTAAACTAATGTTAACAAAATCATGTTAACTGAAAAGGAAATTCAAGATTTTTAATTCAATTCAAAATTTAGCAAACTAAAAATGTACTTAGGTTTTACTCATAGAAATAGATATTTTCGATTTGAATTTACACTTTGGCGGAAAACGCAATAGGCAATATGTGTAGGTACTCACTGTGATGTGCTTATACATAATTGAGAATTATGAAGAGATATTCGACTTGTGATTGACAATATTCCATTTCTCCTCTTTTAATTAATTTGACACGGAGACACGCAGACATCGATGGGCCACTACACCGCGGCAGAGTGCACAACAGCCATCGTTCCAATCGGGCAGCTGCCCGGCTTAAATTCATAACTTGTACAACGAAAACATTTCCATCCGTACTTTTTGCACTGTCTCCCTACCCGCAATATTAAGAAATAATCAATAAAGGAGTCGGAGAAAGGGATAATAAGAAAAGGGAATAACGACAATTCTTATTTTATACCCACCACTAAACGCTGCATCTCCGATTGCTCACGGAAAAGCCATTAAATGGCTCGCATGCTTTCGTGAATGTTCTCTATCAATCCATCGCTATTGTCCTTGCCTGATTATCTGTGTCATTTAGCGAAAGAAACGCACGCGATCTGCATATTGACCGATTCTTCGTATTACCTTGCCGCAGCTCGGAGAAAATAATCCGCGTGTCCTGGACAGCCACGCGCCTGTAAATTTCGCGTAAATCTTTTCAGACTTTTGTATCTTACACCGTAATGATGCGTGGAGAATTTTCTGTCGAAAACGCGCGCGACTCTTCACGAGTAAAAATAAAATCTAGTTATAAAAATTTTATTAAATCCGCATGTACTTTAGGTTTGATACATTCGAAATAGTTGTTAATCTACGCTTAGTTTTCTTAATTATGGAAATTTGCATGATTCTATGAGCAAATGTTACAACGCTTCGAAATCTAATATAAAGATATAGACAACTACACTAAATATTACTATTAACTCGAACGAGACGATGCGTGACACAACTCTACTTAGAAAGAATGTTTCATTATATTAATCAAAGTACAAAAACTTCAGCTGATGCATAAACGGACTCGCAATTATTCATCGCGTGCCGCACAGAGAGACATGCGATATAAACGGCGGAATTACAAAGTAAGGAAATACAGTGATAAAAATTTTAAACGCAGAGTATGTCAGATCACGTAATCTTTCAATAGTAACAAAGTTATCAATATATTTATAGCTAATCGAATTGTCCTATTCAAAATTATTCTCTTCTAATTGTTCTTCCATCTTCAACCAGCTGTTTTTCTTTCTCAATTGAAGTCCTTTTGCTTGCATCATGTGGTATACATGAAATTCGTAATCCTCTTCTTGAACAAATGTTGGGGATGTAAGGAGGAAAAGGTCGCTGCTCGCTTTTCCAAATGTACCAAAAAAATGCTGCAATATTTTCACAAATCATAGACGTTTCCCCAAAAGGTGTTTATTTTAAGAAGGCAAATATATTAAGATATTTTAAATATGAAACAGACAGGAACAATAAAAGCATTTCTTACGCTACTATACCGATTTCTTTTGCTAGTAAATAGAAAACGTAGTAGAATACACTGTCGCATCAACATTCATCTCATTTGCACTCACATTGCTCTCATACTCAATCATCATATAGGATTCACATGGTGTAAACCGACTGTATAGCCTGCTCTTTCTGTAAAGCAGCGCATCTAGATATAGTTACGATATCAGGTCTCATTCTGCGGAATAATAAAACATGCGGTTCTGGAAAAAAAAAGATTTTAGAGCGTGTTGATAAATGACGTTAATTATGATTCGTATACATGCAATATCTCGCTGATAATCTTTCATTTGTCAATTTGTACCTGGTCCATGCATCATATAGTGAACCCATCCAGGACTCTGTTGGACGCCCAAATTTCTCCACTCACTTTCCGTCATGAGATGAGTCTTTGGAACGTGTCTGGCTATATCACTCGGCAGTATCACATGCCTGTAATTTAACTCGGGTTAAATTATGCGACTTTAACTTAGTTTGCGCTAGATTTAACGAAATTAACATGTTTCGTGTATTAAAAACGTATTCTTGAAAATTACTTTGAGTATTACTCTTACATATTCTTTAATCACATCTCTTTATAATTAATCTTTCATTTTTATTCAAATCTCTATATTTACATATTAGTTTTACGCAAAATCAGTGTAGTTTCAAAGGCCCATGTTCCGAACCCTCTTTCATCAATAAAAAGTCTCTAAAAGTGACTAATAAGACTTCTGACTGGCTACAAGCCACTTTTAGAGGCGCTTTTAACAGAGGATTCAGAGTACGGGTCAGAGTTTTAATGTAAATTTAGAGAAAAGATTGTTAGATGATATATTTTACGCAAACAACAGTCTAACTTAGTAGTATTTAAAAGAATGCAAAGATAAACTTTGCGCAACTCGTTCATTATCAGATATATACATTAGACACACACACATAATAGAAACTTACCGGTATTCGTATCTATCATCACTGTACTTTTCGGAATACTGAATCTGATCTACTGGCATTTTGCTTGCAGATAAAATAAGCGACCAACAAATAGTCCAAAATTAAACAGTCTAAAAAATAAAAATAAAAATAGTCTCAGCTAGCCCTAAGGCTCCAAGTCCAATCTGCAATGTGTTTTTCGCAACGAGAAACATTCGATTTTAAACATATCAGGCGAATCGATACGCTTAAACATTTTGTCGATTACGCAATAGATAATATACAGTTCATCCACTCGTACAAATTTGATAAACGTGTTTAATGGCTATAAAATAGAATTTTTCTAGACGCAAAGAGCACATTGCAGATCGGGCTTTAAGAAAAGGAAAACTAAGGTCGGTATTCATAGTCGGATCATCTTTAGATACTCCGTAGCCAATGAAATGTTCCATACAGTATCTTTAGATAAGTTCAAGACGGTCTTGAACATAAGATCCGACTATGAATACCGGCCAGTTTCTACAAAGCAAATCGCTTTCTTACAACTGAAAGAAATTCTGTTGGTAGTAATTCAATTTATAACAGTTTGATCAATCAAGATTGGCCTAAATACAAGGATGGCAATTGCTAAATGCGGAATATAAAAGGATTTCAAAGATATTAACATTTCATAGCAATATTACAAACGTTAAAGCGTCTTTAGGTTGATATTTCTGGTCAGATCTTATGTTCAAGACCGTCTCAAG